GTGATTATTGCGACCTGGGAAGGAACCATGGTCTCTGCCTGCTCCCCACCCCCCCCACCTGCCCCCTCCAGGAGGGGGGGGAGCCCAGCCTAGGTCTTGTGGGTGAAGCGGGCCCACACCTGCTGCAGCTGGGACCGCGAGATGCGGAGCACCGAGGGCACGAGTCTGTGGTTGCCGGCGGCGAGGGGCGCGTGGCGCCGGTGGGGCGCCCGCACGGGGCTGCTCTCCGCCGAGCGGCTGCGCTGAATGAGGGAACCGGAGGAGCCGCCGCCGCCAGGGTGAGGGTAATGCTCGGTCTCCAGCGTGGAGGAGGAGAACACGGAGGACGCCAGTCGTCGCAGAGGGCTGTACCGCGGGAGGGAGTGCCCCGAGAGTCTGTCCTCCTCCAACTGAAAGAGACCAAGAGAGTGGAGGGAAAAGAGGCGTCAGGCACAGACTCGACAGCTCCGTCTCGGGGGGCCACCCACCGCTCACAGCCCCTGCGGCGCTGGCGTCCCGGGCAGGGCGGGGGGCAGGGTCGGCCAGGTGGAGGGGTGCACACTGCCCCGTCCAACCTCAGAACCTAGCCTCTGGCCTCCAACTCCCTTCCCAGTCCTCCTCCTCTCTGGCACTTCTCACACCTCTGTCTCCTTGCGGAGACCTTGGTCACTCACCTCCCCTGGGCAGCCTTCCTGCCTTAGCCGGTGGGAGCTCAGAGCTCCCTCTGGGCTTGAGGAGTCCTCCGCCCTCCCCCCAAGGAAGGCCCCTCTGCAACTGTTACCTGCCATCTGTCTCCCCAGCTGTACTCCTTACTCCTCATGACGTGGTCCAGAGAACATTCCCTGCACACCCTCTGCCTGTACCACAGCGGGATGCCAGGGTCTCAGTGAACAAAATGTAGCAGAATGGTAGGACTCTGGAGTCCGGCTATCCACGTTGGAATCCCAGCTCTACCACTCACTACCTGGGTGACCTCAAGCAAGCTACTTCACTTCTCCTGCCTCAGCTTCCTCACCTGTCAATGGGAGTAATAATGGTTCCCACCTCATAGGGTTGTTATAAGGATTAGGTGTTTATAATATGCACAGCACTTAGGACTGCCTTGGAGTAAATGCTGTGTCATGTGAGCTGTTCCAGTATCCTTTAAGTCACTCTTGAAAATGAGGAAAGGAATAGAGGACTGGTAGGAGAGGCAAACAGAAACCATTTCTCCAAAGTGGCTTTTCCCCCAGTCCTCTCCAAGGCGGAGCCACAAGGCAGCCGGTGGGAGGGGGTTGGCCACCTCACAGATATCTGGAAGAATCCTGTTTGTGCCCTCTTGGCCTCATACCCTGAGAAGGAAAAGGGAAAGTGGGCCTGTGCATCCCAGGCCCGTGGGGACGGAAATGGTGACTGGGGTGTCACCAGACCTTTCCCATCCTGACCCCTAGCTCTTCCTGTGACTGAGTCAGTTTAAATAGCTTTTGGTGGGTCCTGAGGACTGGGCTGGGCCAGCTGCCAGAAAGCTGAAGGAGTCGTGGGGTGGGGTGGGCCCAGGACACTCAGTTCCAGTGCCCCCTTATAGATGTCAAATGGGGACACAGGGACCCAACATGGAGCCTCCATCAGAGAGAGGGGGAGACAGAAGATTCTGATAGGATTGTCTTTGGCCCCACCCTGCTTTTCCTTCCAGCTCCTTCTGAGCTGGCGGTCCTGGCTGCACGGAGGGTTAGGGGTCCGAGGCCCTCCATCCAAGCGATAGAGACACCAGCCCACGGCTCCCCTCGCAGCACACGTGCGCAGTCTGAGTGTAACACCCCAGCCAGAGTGTGGCAGCTTCTGGAAGGACTTAATCCCAGCGTGCTCCTGCCCTTCACTTGCCTTCCATGCCCGGTTGAAGTGCCACCTTTGCGAGACCACCCAGCTTCCCAGGCAGGCCCCCCCTTCTAGCAAAGAAGAGTTCTCTGCTCTCCGCTTTATGGCCCTTGCCAATAAACACCCATGTCCACACCTTTGCGTCCCCACCCACGCCTGAGAACTGCGGGCTCTGAAAGAGCAGAACTGTGAAGCCTTATTCAGCTTTGTCCCCAGCCCCCAGCACGCTGCCTGGCACGTGGCAGAGAAATGCTCTAGCGGCGGCCAAGCAAATGTCCATGCACTCAGAGAATGCTGGCCTGCTGTGTTACCAGCCAGAGACAACCGGCAAAGGATGGTAAACATCTCTCCCCCAAAATCACACACCCTCTGCTGCCTTCCCCTCGGCCTTAGCTTTCCAGCCACGACTAATTTGCACCTTAAATTCCCTGCAGAAGAAAGCAGTGCGTGTGTGGAAAGAGAAAGTTTAACATATCATGGCATTCACACCGAGGAACAATAGATGCTCTAAAATTGCGCCTGGTTCCACATTATCCTCGTCCCTGCTCCCCACAGTGTTGCAGGTGTTTGTATCTTTAAGGATTACTGTTATGAGGAAGTTCACACATCAGATGCTGAGCAGAGCAAGCTAGATCTAGGAGGGGATTCCCTGCAGAAAGGTGGCAGGGTGGTTCCAGTGTGCAGCCAGTCTTGGGAGCCCCCCCATAGCCTGGACTCAGGACTCCTTTCAAACCAAAGAAAGAAGGAACAAATGTGCCAGTCCACTTCTCCGTCTTCCTCTGCCCTTGACAAGGAGGGTCTCTGCCTCCTTCACCTGGACTGTGCTGTACTGAAATACTCGGTAAAACATGTCACACCCCGTGTGCTCACACATAGCCGCACACACACACACACACAGGCCACCGTGAACACTGCTGTGCCCAAGGCACACCTGCTGACGTGGCCCAGCCAGTAGTGTTTCGCCCACCGCGTGTGATATCACACATAAATTACTCCGGGTTTCTCCTCTGACCCTACACGATGCTGCTCTCTCTGGCCTGTGTCTGCTCCTCTCCTAAACTCAGGCCCTCCAGACAGCTCACCCAACCTCTCTTGCCCCCCCTGGTGATCACTTGGGCTAAAGGCCTCAACTTGGTTCCTTACCTTTTGAAGAGAGGCGAGTGAGCGGTCTCCTTATTTGCATTAATTGTTGTGAGGAAGACACACGTGAAATACGGAGGCATTAAGAGCAATGCATCTCTGGTCACTGTCACCAGAATTTTTGCTCTGATGATCATCAGCCCTCCAGCTTTGCTATCCCGGCTCCCAGGGTTCCCTGCGCTCTTGCAGACCCGATGCATGCTCCACAGACACACCACTGCGTGTGCACACCCACACCCATGTGCGCTCCTGAGCTGAGCTGATACAGAAATGCACACACGCAGCCAAAGAATGCTAACCAACTTCGCTGCCGTGCACTATGGGGAAACCAAGTCCCCACTTAACGCCCCCTCCAGACACATACAACTCACTGCCTGTCCACAGCACGAGCAGGACCTGAGCCCAAGGCTGAGACTGAACAAGTCCCCTGCGCCCGCTTCCCCAACTCTTTCTCCTTACCCCCTTGGCTGGAATTCCCCAAAGCAAGGGTGTTTCCCAGGACCTGGAAGGAATCTGAAGGTGAGAAAAACCTCCCAGATAGCTCAGCTCCCTCTCTGAGACCCAACTGGCCTGCAGTCACCAGGAGGGGACCAGCAGAGAGCCCAGGTCCAGAATCTAGGCCGCCTGACTTGGATTCTGGGCTCTCTCTACCCTCTACCACCACTGTCAGTCTCCCCTCCTAGACTCTGCACTTCCTGTGGGTGCAAATGACCTCTGGTGCCTCTGGGACCTGCCACAGGCTACATGCTCAGCAAGTGTGGAATGACTAGGTATTGAACAAATGAATGAACGCAGGAAAAAATGAGAGGGGAGCGAGGTGGAATCGCAAACTGATCTTGCTTCTTCTGCTTACCCAGTGCTGGCCTGGTGGGCACAATGTCTAGGTCAACGACAGTCATGCTAGCCCATACTCTGCCCTGGCTGAGCCTCCAATTTAGGTTGGCTAGGACCTCTCTCAGAGTTCCCACTTTTATAGTCCAGAATCCAGGGCACAGCTAAGACGCACACCCCTTGGGATCTCAGCTCAGAGACCCTCTCTTCTAGACGTGGGGATGGGGCCTGAACATAGCCCTGCCTGGAGCTGCCCTTCTCCAGGGCACCCACATGCTCCCAGGCCGGGCCTCCCAATCTGAGCACACAGCAGAACTGACCCCGGCCCTGGGCCCTGCTCCTTGGATTTCCCAGAGCCACCTGGTGCACACCCCTAACGTGGGGTGACTGAGTGGAACGCGGCACAGCCCCAGAGCCCTCCAGCATCACCTCTTTGGCCCTCCTCAGCCCCTCAGAGGAGACATGCTCCTTTCAAAACCACCAGTGACAGCACTGCTGTCCATCCAGAACTCAGCCGGGAACCCTCTGCTCACAGCCCGCTCAGTTCTTTCCCCAACACCTCTTGGTTCTGTCCACCTTGCCCCACGTCCAGAGCGCCCACCCTGGTCCAAGCCACCAGGGCACTCTCTTGCTGGCACCTGCTGTGTGGCCTTCCTACTGGCAGTTCTGTGCCTTTTAATCCATTTTCACACAGCAGCCAGAGGGATCATTCAAGAGGACCAAGGTAAACATATGTCACACCCCTGTTTCAAAGCCTCGGGTGGCTCACCGAGTCCTCAGAATCAAGCTCTAACCCTTTAGCTCATCCCCAAGGCCCTCCAGGATGGAGCCAGAGACCTACCCCTCAGCTTCATCTGCTGCAACATGCAATCAGCGCAGTGCTTTCTGACTGCCACCTCCGGGCCTTTGTACACACTGTCTGCTTGGCCTGGGAGGCCTTTCTCCTGCTTTGTCACCTGGCTGACACTGCTCATAATGCAAAACTCAACTCAGAACGTTGAGGGTGCCTTCTCTGGAAGCTTTGACTGTCCCCCAAGCATGGTTTTGGACCCTGAAATCTGTCTACCTTCATCACAGCCTGCAACTGTTGGGTGCTATTCAATAACCCCCATAGAGCACACAAGGAGCACATCAAGAGCGCTCCAGGCAAAAACTATAGGCATCCAGGGGTGGGGAGTGGGTGCAAGCCGCCTTACCTGTCTCTGCGGGCCTGTGGGATCGGACTCTCTCCGTCGAGGCCGGGGTCCCGAGTGCAGGGGCGAGTGGGAAGGGCTGCCGGGCGTGGGGGGCTGCGACGTCTCTGACCGGCCATCAGCTTGGCTCAGCTGGGGTGGTAGGGGCTGGGTTGGAATCTGCCGAGGGTCCTCCTCAGCCAGCGTCTGCATGCCTCGTCCCCGGGGCCTGACGGCGGGCTCTGCCCCTGGCCGCCGCCGCTCCTCGCCCTCCTCGGGCAGCGGCCGCAGCTCCTCGGGCTCCTCGTCCGTGGTGCCCGATGTGCTGGGCTCGGCCCCCGGGGGGAAGTCCTTGAGCTCTGTCTCCTTGTCAATGATGACCCACTCCTTGCTGTCAAAGTCCTCCTCCTCGGCCAGCGGCACTGAGCGGAAGGCGTTGCTAAGGGCCTCCTGCTCCACGGAGGCTGACACGTCCATGCGGCCGCTGGCCTGCCGATCGGCGTGGCCTGTGTCCACTGAGAGCATCTGGGCCGGCTGCGAAGAGCAGGCTTGGCGCGAGGGTGAGCCGGGCAGATCCATTCGTGACCTGCAAAGCCAGCCCACGGGAGGCTCAGTGCCAAGCCTCTCCAAATCTCCAAGGAACTCGAGTAGGTGGCCAGGTGCAATGTGACCCCTAGAACCTACTGACCACAGCATCTCTCCCACCCTGGGCCAGGCCCGGTCACCTCCTAGATTACCACCCCCTAACCTCACTCCCCACAAAGATTTCATTCATCCATTCATGCATTCATTCCCTTCAACACATGTATTTGAATGCTTACTGTGTTCCAGGAATACAAACATGCAGAAAATAAAACCTGGTTCCTGTGCCCAAGGAACGCTCTCTTCTGGACCAGCCAGGAAACTTAATCTCCCTAAGGCCCACTTTATGCTTGCTGGTCCAGTGCTCACACTCCGTCAGAGGCTGCCTCCAGGGCAAACACACCCATCTCGCCCTTCAGTTTGCAGATGAGCTTTCTAGCTTCTTCTACCACCACCTCCAGGTCTGGCTGGCTGGTTACACCACCCCTAGCAAACTCCAGTGGCTCCCAGCCCCGATGACAAAGTCTATGTTGCTTAGCATGGCACTCAAGCAGCCAGACTAAGGCCCAGTATCACCATTCTCCCAGCCGGACCCAAGTCAGGGTCACTGGCTTTTCCCCAAATTGCGCATGTGCTCATATTTCTGTGCCATTACACATGTCACTCTCTCCACATGGCCTGACCTTCCACCCTTTGCTGTCCCAAGCAGCTTGGATGTCACTTCCTGTGGGGGGAGCCTTTCCATCCTGCCTGGGGGGCTACTTTGCCTTCCCAGCACTGTCTGTGCGCCCCTGTCCTCACAGAGTGGAGCCCGTGTGTTTACATACCTGTCTCCCCACGAGGCCGTGAGCCCTGCCAGCCAGGGACTGGGTCCCATCTCACTCTGGGGCAGTGATCCTACCTTGGGACACCTCTTCCGTTGTTACCTTACACTGTGCTGTGAACCTCACATTACTTCCAGAGGTTCTCAACTGGAGGGGAGGGTACCAGTGCCAAGGTGAAGATTTTGCTGCCTGCAGGAAGCTACACAAAGGCCAGGGTGCCCCCACCGAGGACCACGGAGGCTTAGCTCCCCTGGGGTTGTGCACACCCTCATGCTCAGGCTGTGGGCAGGGGGCTGACTTTTTTTCTCCCGCAGCCTTGAGCCTGTGAGACAGAGGGGTGCAGTTCAGAGCCACTGTGGGGCTTTCTCAACACCCCCCTGCCCTGGTCTGTGGGACCTACCAACTCCTCCCTCTCCACAAGATTTGTATTGATTTAATAAGGCTTTAAATACAAACATCCCTGAGGTGGGCCACCCAGGGTCCTACACTGATGCTCCCATGCGAATGGCTGGTGTTGCTTCCTTTCCTGAGAGCATGGTTTGTTTTGATGGACACAAAGGAGAGAGGGGCTGAAGGGGAAAAGGGGGGCGAGGAAAGGGGAGAAGGAGGGAAATCCAAATCCCATCTGCTTCATACTTTTTCCTGCTCCCAGGTGTCCCAGAGCCCACCCAAACCCTCTGCCCTGCCTACGAGATCCTGAACCTTCCCTTCCAGAAAATCTCTCCTCAGCCGTCTCCTCTTCCCATCATCCCTGAAACAAGGTGTTCATTCTGAATCAAACCAGTTTGCTCTTCAGGACTGTCTTTGTTCGGGGCATTCCCACCTCTCTTCTCCACTGATATCCCTTCCAAACTGCCGTTCCTCAGTTCTCCTTGTTTCCTGAACCCTCTGGGCTACCATGGCTGAAAATGTGGTCTTCAGTCCCAGGGAGGCCAACCTGTGTGAGTGTGAGTGTATGTGTGAGGGCTGTTGGCCACCTGAGCACAGGGCCCACATCCCTCTGTCCTGGGGGTGCCGTGGGGACTGGTATAGGGCTCCCCTGTCTTGAGTACTGCCATGCTCCAAAGGGGCGCTGTGCCCCATCCCAGAGGCAGAGTGCAGTCTGGAGCACAAGCCAGAGGAGGGGCCATGAATGAGATGGGGATGAGGCACACTGGGCCCTCCTAGGCTGGGCCTTGGGAAAAGACCCCTTTCCTGGTGCGGAGAAGACCTCAGCCCTGCTGTGAGGTCAAGCCCCGCCCAGAGCCAAGCGAGGGTGGGGACATCCCTCACAGGCCTCTCCCACCTGAGCTGTCCTACCCACTGGACAGCTCATCCAGGCTTCTGACTCTGGTCCCTGATGGCCATGGACCACCCTCACATTCGCACCCCCACCCCTCCATCCTGAAGGATCGTTTTGGCTCTAAACTCTCCTCCCACAAACCAGGTCCCCCCTGTGACATTCAGATCCCTGAGCCCTGACCCCCAAAACCTGATCCACCACTCTTGGAGTTGAGCACTCCCTGGGCTCTCCTCCCAGGGCCCTCCCCCACAGCTGAAGGGAGCCTAGTCAGCTGCTCTGAGGCACCTGTAATTAGTCTCTAGGGAGAGGTTCTGGAAGCACACCCACCTACCACCTCACCCCTCAGCCTCCTCCTGGGCCAAGGGACCCAGCTTCCCACTCGTATGGCATGCCTCCACCCTACATCCCTTTGTGGCATGAGCTGGGGCCTCTGTATCTGGCCCCCTCCAACCAACCAAGTCTGACCCCAGGCCCTAGTATAACCCTCTCAACACTCCTGGGCCCCCCCCAACCTTGCATCTAATCTTTCCTACAGACCAGCCACGTGAAGGCTGAGGGGACCAGAAGGCCCTTGGCCGTCCCCCTAGCCCCAGACCTACCTCCTCTCATGCAGTTCCACCCGCCCATCCGCTGTGGAAAGCCTCTCAGACTCAGGGCTGTTGACCCTCCGGTAGCGAAGAGAACGGACTGGGGTTGTCGGTGAGTCTGGAGGGGCACGCACCGGGGAGCTGGGGACCCCCACACCTCGGCTCTGCTCCTCTTCCACCACACAAGGGGTCTGCAGGAGAGGGGAGTGCCATGAACTGGGGCTGACAGGGCGGCTGTGGGTCAAGTGGTTTTCCCAGGGTGAAGGAGATTGAGGGAGGTCGACGCTGGTGATCCTGACATGGGGCAAGGCCACGGAGACAGGGCAGGTGGGCACATGGCTGGGGAGAGGGCACACAGGAGGAGCGGGAGGGGGGCCATGGGTTGGGAACCAGGGTGGGAGCGGGGGAAGGCCACCCACGTCCTTCTCTCTGGCTGCAGTTACTTTGCCGATGTTGATCCGGAGTTTGTTCCGGTTGACATCCGTCTCCTCCCAGACTTCAGCCTCAGGACCCCCGGGGTGGGGGGCAAGGTGGGGGCTGGGACCCAGCCCCTCAGGGGGCCGCCCAGGCAAGATTGGGGGTGCGTTCTCCTGGTCACTCAGGTGCTCGCCCTGCAGCACGTCCTCGGTGTTCTCCCGGAGCAGGTCCCCGGGCACTGGCGTCACGTTGACCACCCTGGAGAGGCCAGGAGGGGCCATGGGCAAGGCTGGCAGAGGTTCTCTCTCCTCCCAGCACAGGCCCTGGAGATCACTGCCACCCATGGGAGTAGGCACAGTAGAGGCCTCGGCAGGGGTGGGGATGTCCCTAGGCCCATCCCCATCCCTGGCTCACAAAGCCTGCAACTAGACTGTCCTTAGTCCGGCAAAGGGCTGCAAGGAGATGTGACTGCCCGGGACGGGCACGGCACCACCTCATCCTGTTAATTTAAGAGGCCCATTGCTTTCCAGGCCCAGCCAGATTTCCATCGCAGTTCACTGGCTGACCTCATTTAGACCAGGAATGGGTGTAAAGAGGAGTCATTTGGAACTCCTTGAGCGGTATCTTTACAGTACGGGTCTCTCTCCTGGAGCCCCTACCCTTGTCTCTCCCTGGCTGCCCCCGCGGCAGGGTGGGGTGTCCCTCCTCACTCTGGCCCCTCCCCAGGTGCCTCTGTCTTTGTGCTTGCCACAGGGTTCTGGAATCGCTGACCCATCCGTTACAAATATCCCAGACCCAACCAAGAGCACTCTGAGAGCGGGGGCTGCAACTTTCTTCTCTGAGCCCCCACAGGCCCCAGTGCTGGGGCTCGAGACACGTTCACTAAATGGATGCATGTGAGCAACAGAAACAGACGGTGGGGCTCAGGTATTTTCACTCAGGGCTCCCCACTCCCCCGTAAAGTCAAAAACTCCAAGTGAGGATGTGCACCCTGTCCCCAGATTGAAGGTGGAGATGGGGCAGGACCGCCTGGGGTTTGAGAACCCCACTGTTGAGCACCTTGGATGGGAAAGACAGCCAGATGTGTCCAGGTGAGAAGAGGAGGAGAGGACTGGCTTTTTGGGTGACAGCACTAGGCAGAGGTCACCTGGCCCCCCACTGGGCTGTCATCCCTCCCAAGACTCACCCGAACATGGCTGCCGTCTGCCGCGTGTTCTGCTGGGGTGGAGTGGAGGTGCTTGTGGACAGGAGGGCATCGGTGCCCGCCTTCTCCCAGTCAAAGGCCTCATTCTCAGCGATGCCCCGTTCCTTCATGCTGTTCTCA